CAGTTGTCCCACTTGTTGTCGCGATTGAACGCACCTCGATTATCACCGACGGCGCGCGGCTGGCCCGTGGCGATAAATAATGCAAAATAGCGCGCCGGAGACGCGGCGTCCCGTCGAGGAAGTTCTCGGCGATCAGAACGACTCGGTAAACGTGCGAGCAGTAAACAGATCCGCTGCGCGTGGCGTATCTCAATTAATCGGGAGCAAGACAGAATCTCAGAGATTCTCGCGGCGCGAGACGAGTATTCCCGACTGTGTAACGAGCGATGAAGTTCGCTGTCGGGTATCGAGACGGAGGAACTCGCGAAGAACGTTCATCCGAGGGCGCATGTCTTTCTCGTATCTGTGACTTCGAGAGGATTCGATCCTCGCAGTTGCCGACTAAACGCTCACACACTTGTACACACTTACACACACACACACACACACACACACACACACACACGGATCGTTATTCCGAACTCATCAACTGGAGATGTTTGTTCGCGTTAATTTTCCGCCGGACTTTGCTCCGCGGAAATGGAGCGGGGAATCGACGAGTGAAATATTCGCGAGTCGATTGCGTCATTCCGCCGTGTGTCGCTGGAAATGTTCAGGTTACGAAGTGGGGACGAGGGAAGAGGAGAGACCGCGCTGAGCATGCTCGTGAGAGAGAAAGAGAGAATCGTCGAGAGAAACACATGCTCTTATGCAAAATCCCTCTACGCCGACCGATCCATCCTCCCTCTTGTCGCGCTGCAGCAGGCGCCGGTGAAGAGACGACAGTGAGAACCGTGAAAAATAAAGACAGAGAGAGAGAGAGAGAGAGAGAGAGAGAGAGAGAGAGCGAGCGCTCACAATGTGAAAAAAAGGGCACGCGATGCAATGCGGGCGATGCTCGGGGGATTCTCGTATTTTCCGCGGAATGCGACAACGTGGGGCTCCCCGCCTGCGCGGAATTTTCTGAGCTCGCGTGTTCGCGTTACGCTCATAATTTCATGTCTGAAATTAATCTGCGGCTGCATGCGAGAAAGCGGTCCCTGACGGGACGGCGGATGATGACGTCGTCGCCGGCCGGCCGGCCGGCCTGCCGAAAAATTCGCCGTTCGCGCTGGTTCCGCGGAGGGACGGGAGGGCTCAAGGAGGGTTACGCCTCGATGCCTGATGAGCGATTGTTGTCGAAAATATACAAAACAAAATATAAAACAAAAATATAAGACAAAATTACAGGGTGGCCCGTATGTACGCACCACCGCGACACGACGCGGGGGGGCCGAGGGGGGGGGACGTACGACGCGACGCTTCGTCGTCCGCCGCCGAAGAGCGATTGTCGCGCGATGGAATATCGATCGCTCGATTGGTTCTGGCCTAGTCGTGTGCATAGTCGCGCTGTATTGTACGATACGCGGTCTGTACCTCGACGTGTTTCGTCGGCCGCGAATGAACGCGATCTCGCGCGATTTCGCCGCATGGTACGACAACGGTACGATGACGGTACAACGGCGGACGATGACGCGTCGCGATCGCGCGCTGAGCTACGTCGCGCCATGGACGTCGGGATCGATTCGTTGCCGAGGGTGCGCTTCGTCGGTAATCGTCCGCCACATCGTCGACGGATCGACGCGGCGGACGTCGCGGGATCGACGACGAGACACCGCGCTGCAACGACGAGGTTGGACGCGACGGACAACGAGCGCATACACCACACGTGACGTTGAAGCCACTCGTCGGCATGAATCCTTCGCGCGATAACAACAACGGCCAGGCCGGCACCAGTAGCGCGAGGAGTAACAACAGACATCAACAGGCACCGTTTCCGGACCTCGTGACGAGGTCGAGAATCGAACACGAGCGTATTCGCACGATGGCCCAAGTGTACGATTACATGCGCAATTACGACCGGCAGGCTCGATCGGTGAACAATATGCCGTTGACCGATAGACGCTTGCTTCGTGTGCAGGGCGATCGTTCGTGCAAAGCTGGCTTTTACGACGTACGCGGGCGACTGGTGCAGAGTCAAGATGTCACGTCGACACAGAGTATGTTAATCGCGTGTCTGTAATATCGAGACTGAAAAACAAACGAATGTTTCTTTCTTTCTAATCGAGGCATTTTGTGTCTTTTTCTTGGTATGTTTTTTTCGGTGTTCATGCTTTGGCCCGCTCGCGCAGCAGCACCGGACAGACTGTCGTACGGCCTGCCCATGCCGGACACTATAAACGATTTGGCTGCTCGATTGAACCGCAACGACTCGTCGTGTCGTTGGGACAGTAGACGGTGACTGCGAGAACGCGCTGTGCAACGGCGAGCGGCATCTCGCTGGTCGTCGCGGCGGCCGGCGGAACGACGATTATGCGGAATATATATTCATAAGTAGTGGTATGAAGATTTCGGGGAACCGTCCGAACGCGGTCGGGGGACCGTCGGACCGGTGCGGATCCTCGCGCGCCAAGGATCACGAGTGGTTCCCCGACCGCGTTCGGACGGTTCCCCGAAATTACGTCGTCACGCGTGCGGTAGTAGAGCGTACGGGCCACCCTGTATAAAATAAAGCTACACAAGCTTACGCGCGCTCCCCGCGCGTACTTACGCGACGGAATTCGCTTTCGAGCACGAGCGACGAGGGAGGGCGCGGGGGCGAGGGCAGAGTCCAAGGAGAAAAGTTTCACGTGTTCTCCAAAAGCAATCCGACCGCCGTCTAACCGTGCACGCGAAAATTCCTCGTCGAGCAGCGGCGTTTCGAGGAGTGCGGCATCCCTCACGTCTCGCAACGGGGCCGACGTTTGCGACGGTGATTAATTTCTTTCTCTCGCGCCCGCTTTGCACACGATCAAACGGGGATTCCCATTCCCTGCCGGCGCCACCGCAGGTTCGTCCGTGCCAATCGGCTCGTCGGTCCTTTCGCCATCGTTCGCGTCGACGTCGACACGACAACTCGGCTGCCGACCGACGGATCTCTTTCTCCGCTTCCGCGAGCGTTGACGAATACGGTATTGTCCACGGGAGCTGCGTTAGCTGCGAAGGCGACGATATGCGGCATCTAATGAAACTGAAAGCGCCATTAATCCGACGCGGACATTCGAGCTCCTATCAGCTTCACTATTTGTCTCATTTATACACGTGTGTGTGTGTGTCTGTGTGCTATCGTCAAATTATTCCTCTAGCGAATGCGGCCTTTTCGGAATAAATATCGCCGGTATTGGGATCTATTTTACTCAACGAATATAGTGTTACGTCGAATGTTGCTGTTGACGTTCGCATTGAAAAATAGAAATCCATTATCGACAAGATAATGGATAACGTTTAATACGCGGGCCGTGTGATGAGAGTCGAAAGTACATATTAATTACTAAATAACATACACGGAATAACTGATAACACCGCCGACGGCTAGTTAATTCGCGAAGGACGATTTTAATTATCGCGAATTAATGAAGAGAGAGAGAGAGAGAGAGAGAGACAGAGAAAAGGAGAGAACACAGCCGCTCGTCGTCGTAATCGCGATCAAGTGAGTATCAAGTTGAAATCGCAATGTTGAAGTCGGACCCCACATCGAGCGTTAAGACGCCGCTTGAGGGATGAAAAAACAGTCGTTTCGTCGAAATACCGTGCTGAGAGGAGGAGTGGTCGGTGGCGCAGCGCGCGCGAGATGTCTTCCGCGATTTAATTAGAAGTCTAATTTGTGCCCGACGTTTCTTCTTCCTGCCCGGCCAATTCACGGAATAAAATTCCCAAATAATCTCGCCCGAAGATCTCTTTCTCGCTGCTCGTGAAAACGGAAGGACGTCCGAGAGACGAGGTCCCGTATTATTCAGGATCGCGAGAAAAGTATCGTAAGCAGATCAAAAACAGATACGCTAGAGAGAGAGAGAGAGAGAGAGAGAGAGAGAGAGAGAGAGAGAGAGAGAGAGAACGACGAGGGTGTCGCTTCGAAAGGTCACATGAAGCCTCCACCGAGCCTCCCCGTGCTCGTCCCTCCGCGCTGCGAAAATTGTTTCCTCCGCCTGGTGGAAACGTTTCAAATTTCCTGGCGGCGGCCGCGCACACGTTGTAATCGAGCGATCGGCTAAAGTGGATGTCGACCGGTGCGCGTCAGACCTCTCGTTACAGGACGACGTTCCGAAGCACCGCGAGACTCCCCGGCGACTTTGAGCGACCGAGAGACAGAGAGAGAGACAGAGAGAGAGAGAGAGAGAGACAGAGAGAGGGAGAGAGAAATAGAGAGAGAGAGAGAGAGAGAGGGAGAGAGGGAGAGAGAGAGAGAACCGTCGACGATAGCGGTTCATTTAACGCGATGGAGTTCCGGGTTAAGTTATCGCGGTCGTTACGGCTAATAGACAAAAATTCCGCCGAATTACCCTGGATTAACGCAGCGGCGAACGAGCGCGCGCAAACTTTCATCCCGCCAAAGAAAGGAGATCCTGAACGTCGCACATTTTTCCGCCGAGCCGCATATCTCACGCGAATTGCGAACTTTCTGGACTCTACATTTCCTCGTCTGAGTGTATGGTGTAACGCATAACGCGGTTTATCGCGTGTACTCGCGTGCGCGCACGCGCGTTAAACGGCGAGAGAGCCTCACGCGCGATGTAATCGGATTATTAGGACAAACCGTTCGCGGCAGTTTATACGTGCGTCATCGATTTGTTATTCGACGCGTACGGTGACGCTGATAATTGCGTCGCGGTGTGTGCGAGTTCTGCAGTTCGGTGTTCGGATATGCCGTGATCGCGTGGCCGATGCGTGCAGCGCGAAACTTCGAGGAGAACGCCGCGTCCTTCCGCGTCCGTGCGTCGACTTTTACCGGAGATACAGCCGTCCGAAAAGTCCGGACCTTTCGCGGCCGGCTCTTTTGTCGCCGATCGGCGAAAGAGCGCGCTCTAGCGCGCCGTAGCGCGTAGGGATGCAACGATTTCTCAAAATATCGATAACGATATTATCGTCATTTAGAACTATCGATAACGATAATATCGATAATTCTGAAGAAATATCGATATCTATGTAAAAATATACACACATACCAGGTATACCGGTAAATCTGACTCTGAGACTTCTCCGGGGAATCTCACTTCTCCAATCTCGATTTTCCGCTCCGCAGATATTTCCGCTTTTCTCGAGCCGAAGCCGGGTCCGCGTAATTTCTGACTGTAGCGAGCATCGATACCGTAAAATCTGCAAATAAAACCGCGTGATAAAATGACGGTGCCCTCTCTTCAGAAACACTAGAAGATCAGTCGGCGGGATTAACGGTCCGCCGTAAAACCGTCTCGCCGGTCTGCCCGAGCGATCGACAACGCGCTAATAAATTCGAGTAACGGTGAGCCAGATGAAGAATCATCGCGTCGACGTCCGCGTCTTCTCGCTGCCGTCGCGCGCCGTACGCGCGCGTTATTATCCTCTCAGTGATAAGTGCATCGGGTCGACCGTCAGGCCGCGAAATTACTGCCGCCGTATTACGTGACGACGATCGACGGCGGTCGAGCCGAGTCGAGCGCGAGACGCTCCAAAGATTCTCTCGCCGTCGCACCGCGGCATTATCGCGCGCGAAGCAGACCTGTCGTTGGGATTGATTATTACGGCATTACGCGCGCGTCCCCCGAGTTATTCGACGCAATTACGAGAGATTTATCTCGCCGCCGGCGTCTCCTTCGTTTACGTCACGCCGCGAAAATTTACGCAACTCCCGGACGGAATTCGCGCATAAATAAGACCGCGATGCTTTACGCGCTTGTGGGCGGCTCGAGAATACTCCGGGGTATCGCCCTGCTGCTTTCTTTTCCCCTCTCTTTCTCTTGTCTCTAACCGGCGCTCCCCTCTGATCCGCCGCGTAACAACGCAGCACGTTACGCACGAGGCGAATGGGGCGGTTAAGTCACGCACACCGGCGGATATCTCGAGAACGGGACGGGACGAAGGCGAAGGTGCGCACGTCGAGTTTACCTCGTAAAATGTCGCGGGACCGAGAAGAGAGAACGACGCGAGACGAGGAGCGGAATAAAATTTCGTGCTCCACCCCGACACCCTCCTGGCTCATACGCGCGGCGGCGGCGGCGGCGGCGGCGGATATATACGTTGAATCGGTAGTCTATAAATTTACAGATCCGTGGGTGCGCTTCAGGAACGTCGAGATTTATGGCCTCGATGTTTCGCGCGACGAAGCTATTGCGTTCGCGAAATCTGGGGAGCGGGCGGTAGTGGAGTCGTCCCCCGTGATTGGTAGGACCGATCGAATACGTCGCGCTACTGTAATCAAGTGCCATATCGGTGACGGAGGAAGACGACTACGGCCACGACGACGAGGATGACGCTGATGACTACGGCGAACGGCCTGGCTGGCTCGGGGGGGGGGGGAGGATAATATCGGTGCGCGCGCGCGCGCGCGGAGTTTGAACGCGGTCAGGCGCGTGATTAATTGGCCGAGTCTCTCGAAACGCTGACTAAAGACCCCGTTTCGCATCCGCAGGGCTGAGCACGTCGACCGGCTCGCGAAATTAATAACGAACAGCGTAGGCTGAAAGGCGGGCTTTAAGGAGTTTCCCAGCCCTTCTCCCCCTTCATCTCCCCCTTCGCCTCCCCCGGCCGTCGTCGCGCGCGAATGCCGATCTCCGAAGACTCGTCATCTGTCAACGGCTACGTGTCAGCAATCCCTGTCGGGAATTGTAATCCGACGCTTCGTTTCACGACGCCATGACGCGAACGGCCGCCCAAGAGCGAGGCAATTTTTTTCGTCGCTCACGTCGCGCGACGACACGATATCCGTGCGACGGCTAATTAGAACTTCTTCCTGCGATTCTTTTCCGCTCGTGGGGATACAACGCGCGACGCGATGCGATCTTCCAATTTTTGCTCCCCTTTCCCTCCCTCTCTTTTTTCTCGCTGCTTCTCTCTCTCTCTCTCTCTCTCTCTCCTACACGGGTGCGTCGCGGATACGCACTTATTTCGCGGCTAATCGCAGGAACGGACCTCGCGTTATACGAGGAGTTACGTCCTGAAAGCAAGCAGACATCGTCGCGCGCGCGCGCGAAATTCCCGATATTCCCAAGTGCGATACGCGAGAATAGAATTAGACGGCCGCGGATTCCCGCGCATCTCCCCAGGTGACTATTCCTCACTCTTTTAAACACAATAGCAGCTCCCCGAAGGGTTCTCCCCCATTGTCTTGGATAGCTCGCGCGGGTGCAATGCATACGCGTTCGTATCCCTTCGAGCGAAAGATCCGACGGATGATCCGACTTGCGGCGCGCGAACAATTTCAGCCCTCGCGGGCTTTGTCTCCTCGAGTATGAACGAAATAAAAGCGCCGTGCGTCGTCGTCGTCGTCGTCGTCGTCGTCGTCGTTGAGCGATTGAGGTGGGGCCAAAGCGACAAAGCGGGAAACAGCGAGAATCGAGGATCGCCGGCGTCGACGGAGTGAAATTGGAAAAGCGGCGTTTCGTCGCTCGCCGAGAGCTCCCCCCCCCCGCTCCGCCGCCTCTCGGAACGCCACACGCCGCTTGCGACCGGTTGGAAAAGAAAATAATTGGACCCGGCGTGTCGGACTGGTGATGTGGATAAAATCGCCGCGCGGATTCGCGCTGCAACGGCTCCCGCGTTAAATTCGGCGACGCCGATCGATGCGCGGTATTTATTATTCATTAATACGCGGCTCCGACGATGTTTATCTTCGCGGGGAGACGATTAAGCGGATCTCTCGCAGCGCTTGGCTATTAATAACTCAGATCACATTCGTCGTCACGTGCTTCGCCGTGCTCCTCTAATAATACTCATCTGGGCTATTCCCACCAAAATGTATCGCCGCGAGAGTTTACGAGAGCGCTCTTTCGCGGCGCAAAACTCGCGCATTGTCGGCTAACCGGGTTAATTGCGCGGCGGCGACGTTTAATGTACCGTAAGACGGAGTGGGAGTGTAAAAGTTGGCGGCGCTGATCAATTCGAAGGTCCGAATTTACGTACGCGTTCGTCCGCACTGACGCGTCCTGCGGATTAGCTCTCGTATCTCTCTCTCTCTCTCTCTGTCTCTCTCTCTCTCTCTCTCTCTCTCTCTCTCTCTCTCTCTCTCTCTCTCTCTCTCTCTCTGTCTCGCTTTCTCTCGCACTCGCCAAGTGCATTGATGTGCAATTAAGAGCCAGCTTACATCCGGTCTACAAGACGTTACATCATCGTCGGAAGAGAAATAAGTAACTTCCGAGGTATCTCCTTTCTTCCTCCTTTGAGGTCGATTCTCCTCTCGACCGTCGGACCGCCGCGCCGTCGCAGCCGCCGCTGGCGAAGCTCGCGTAATTGACGACTTTTATCCGGCCGGACTGAAAGTTTCGTTGGCGCTTATGCAAATTATCTGCCGCCGCCCTCGTTGCGTTTCGTTTCCCCGCAATTCGCGCGCGCACGTATCACGGAGTGATAAAAGCTCGTCGATGACGAGCAAGATTTCTCGCGCCGCGTGTCGCCGTGAGGCTGAAAAGGGGAAAGGGAAAGGAAAAAAGCATCGCTCGCGAGGTGGAAAATCGAACGGCAGCGACGACATCGCGTCGTCGACGGGCCGGCCGGTGTTCAACTTTTGACGATCGTCGGGAAAAAAGCCGCGCAAGGCTGCGAAAGTACGCCGGGCGGAACGTATGTCAATTAAGACCGCGAAAAGTACAAGTACAGCGAGAGCAACTGTCCCCCCTCGCAGTCGCACCGCTGAAGAAAATCGCGCGCGAGAGACGTGTGGTACACTGATAGAAAAATATAGTTGAATTAACTATAATCTCACTATATTTTATAGTTCATTTCGGCGTCAACCATATTTTTATAGTTCGTGGAACCTGCAAAATATAGTAAAATAATTGTTTAGTTACCTTTACCACATACATGATAATTTCTCACTCACAAATGTAGTGAGATTTAATATTCATGTAGTTATATCTGTCATCACTTAGCAAATATTCTGGTAATATTGACTATATAAAAGAGTTATATTTTACCTGCCATTTTATATTTGTATCCGTACAATAATTTTAATTACTAACTCTTAGTAAATAATTCTTAGTAAAAATATTACATGTTACACTATGCCTACCTATATCGTAATTATCACCGATATTATGGTAATACTTACTGTATCTAGTAATTACTATATCATTATAGTTCCAAATATCATATACTTTTCTCTCAGTGTACCAACGTGGAGCCAACTTGGTAAATTGATTGGCCACGATCGTGGCCCCAATCTTGCGATGGATAACCGGGAATGTTACGAGCTTCACGGCGCGTCGCGAGCGCGTCATGCATACACACTCGCGGCCCACGGAGAGCTGCTATTTAAAGTTTAAATGACTTTGTCTCGTGGTCTGGCTTAATTCGAAAATAACGAGTCACCTGCGAACGGCCAGCATACGCAGCCACCTGCATACGCGTGGCCCACTTTAGACGGATCGGAATAGCGCGCGCGTGGCGCGCGGGGAACCGGTTGACGAAAATTCGGAAGAGGAGGAGGAGGAGGAGGAGGAGGAGCGCGAAAAAAATCACTCGCGACGTCTAAAAGTAGCCGGCCAGCTCGTAGCTACCCCGCCTGTCTCTCCCGCCCCCCGCCGCCGGAATCGTAATCACGTGGCTATAATAAGCGGACTCTCGCGTTCCAAGGCCGCGGTCCTTCCCTCGCGCTTTATTATTAAACGACGTTCGCGCGACCACCGGCTCTCTCTCTCTCTCTCTCTCATTCTCCGTCGCTCGTAGAGTCACGTCGCGCTCCGACGATGCGTGGCACGTGGCGCGATTTAGCGCTTTACACGCCGGCTGTTTGCACTGACAATAACGAGACTTGTCGTCGTGTACAGCTGAGGAAGCTTCAAGAGAGAAGATTGACGTTCCGAAAGATTCGGGCCCTCGGGAGTTCGGATTTTCCGAGAAACAAGAGCCTCCCGACGCACGATTGTCGCCTGCCCCTCCCCCTCCCAGGGAGGGATAATTACCCCGGAAGAAAAACACGCGGGTGTTTTGATGCCCCACGCACTTATGGATACCCTCTTTTGCACAGGATTCGAAGCAGAGGCTAATGCGCTCGCGGCTGTACAACGGCACGTATTTCCGCTGTCTCGATGAGATCGATAAATCCGGGAGACACTCGCGTGTTTCGGTATCGCGACTTTTTGGGGGAATTGTCTCGCTTTTAACATTTCCACGCATTTCTTCCG